GCAACAAGCATACAATGCCACAATGTTGATATGATCATTCTTAACAGATCCTCCGGTATTACAATTTGAAAGAGAAGCACCAGAAGGAGAGCTGAAGAATGAAACGGCTCCTGTCTTAAAACTATAACGACTTCGACAATGACACTTCCCTTAGCAGATGCAAAAAAAAAAAAGACTCCACTTTTTTGTGGTACCAGAATAATGTTGAATGGCGCTTATGCCTGCCAATGTCAAGCGTGAGGCCATAATAAACCGACCACTGAGTGTCAGTTGTGCTTCCTAAATCATTTCGAGTGAGAAAAAAAAATACATCGTTTTTGGGTCAGAAAAGAAAAAAAACAACCACGTTGTAGATGTTGGAGGATATGACACTAGCAGTGATCCCATGAAACCATCGCACTTGTGGATAATGGTGGGGAAAAAAGGTAATAAAATTGTAAAGACGTGATAAAACTGCAATTAACCGCCTAATGGGGAAAATAAGTGCCCGGTTCACTCGCTAGACTTAACTTTGGCGATCATACACGACACACAAGCATGAGTTTAATGTCACATGATTGTCATCCAAACTCCCGCATCGTGTAACGAAAGATCAAATGTGAAAATCATCACAAAGCACGATCCCCGAGTCGCCAGTCAGCAGCAAAATTGAAAGAAAAAAGAAGAAGAAGCATTATAAGAGCCTTGAGCCTTTTGGCATCAAGGAGAGTGAGTGTTATGCAACAAAATGACACGTTCAAATGGGAGAAAATAGAAATTATTTAATAGCTACCATCCCTGAGACTTCACTACTAAAATCATGTGGATTCACTAATGACGACCTCCTTCGTGGCATTCTTATGCAATGCTCTGGTGATGTAATTTACCCAAATGACGAGCAGATTGTTTCAAGATAAAATTTCCTCGGGCCAAACCCAACCAATGACAAGAAACTTCCATCGTAAGCCTACTTTAATGCAGGAGTAAGATTACTCCCAAGACTGGAGCATAAACAAAACAAGACGATAGAAAAGGCAAATCAGACGTACAGGTTTTAAAAAAGTCGCCTCTAACAACGCCATTCGTTGAATCAACAACTGTCCCTTCGTGCATTTGTCCAAAAAGATAGCTTGATCAATCTTGCTATTGAATAGGAGGATTAGAGGGAGATGCATACCTCTTCACGCTCTCGTGTTTCACGCCAGAAGCCTACCAAGGTTTTGGGCGAGTATCTGGCATCCCCGTTTGTACACATTTTGACAGTGTGCCGCAGCTGCACTCGTCTTGACGTACAAAGAACTGTCAGCTGATTGAATCGATGGAGAAGGTAGGAAGGGAGCTGTCAAAACTAACCTTCACCACAGTTTGACACTGCTGAAGATTAAAGTGAATAGGGCGGATGGATTGACACGCCTTGGGGGAGGGGAGGAGAGGGAGGGAGAGGAAGGCAGGAGAGAGAACAATCTGTGCACTATCCTGCACTATTATTCTACGATGTAAAGAAAGATTACAATATTTAAAGAGTAGTGATAACTTCAGACATACTCACAACAACTCTGCCTCCGTTCCATCGCCATAGCCGTGGTGAGCCGCACCCTCTCCCATTAAACAGTAATGCTCGCGGATGACCGCGTTCTTGGGCGCACACACCGCCAGGCCCAACACAAAGCGATGCGTCAGCGCCGGTGGATGTGCGCACACACACACATTCACAAGGCATGTAGGAGCAACTGACGCGGGCCAATGAGAGTGGAGAAACAAGCAAAATAACATTCCGTTAAGAGGCCAAGCGACGGTACAACTTACCATCCTCCTACTTCTCCATAAGGGTATGTGTGATTGTGCATACACTGAAGGCTTTTGCATCTCTAATCAGCGACAGTGCCTCTCTACCTCCCTTTTGAACCTGCATTAGTCATAGGAGAACATCAAAAGGAGTCACTTGAAAGCACACTATACGATACACTTGGTGCTGCTCAATCACACTTTACTGGGCAATAAGGGAGGAGGCAGGAGAGAGGAGGAGTGAGAGAGGTGGCGGAATTAAAACAAGTCTCTTGTTATGTGATAAAAAGCATCCCACGGCATAGAACGCGTCAGTGTTTATGAGTTTGCAAGGAGTGAAGGCATACATCATATGTATAAAAGTTAGAGAAAAACTGCTGATACTGATCGAAACGGCGATGGACGTTGATAACAGCGCGCTGTGTCGCACTGATGCGGAAAAATGGAGAGGCATGACCGAACGAACAAATCGGCTGGGCAGACAAGCGTGCACAAAACACATGCGCACACCCACACGTTGGAGGATGAAGAAGCGTGCCGCTAACACCGATGTGCACCGCGTGCATTCGCGTTGCAAACGATTTCTGGCGCACATAAGATCGAAGCAAGGTGCGAGATCACAACCCCGCTGCACACTCGGATGTTGGTTAAGAAGAGAAATGTGAGTGTATTGGGAAAGGAAAGAACGGCGGGAGAAAGGGAGGGAGGGAGTGAGGGAGGGAGGAGGAGTGAGAAGGAGAAAGCACATTGCGTCAATTAGGCGCAGGAGCACTTAGACTATAAAAATAGTCGTAGTCGGTGACTGAGGCAAAGACGGCTGAAAGTAAGAAGAAAGGTGGGAGGTGAGAGGGGGGATGTCAGGGAGGGCTTTAATCCGGCTTGCTGAGATTTGCCCGCGCCGCTTTGATGAGGGCGGACAGGCCGGAGAG